TCCATTTCAAAGCAGAAGAGCCAGCGCTGTCCGAAGACGTCTGTCTGGTCATGTGGCTGGCATGACTAAACACCGAAGGCGCATGGAACACCTTCCCACCAAAGATCCCTATTTTTTCTACTTGCATTTTTATATGCTGTCAAACTGCTAGGTTGGCAGAAGCTGGGACAAGTAACGGGAGCTCACTCCGTTACACAGCGCTAGGGATTTGAACCACCAAACTGCCAACTTTTCTAATCGACAAGCTCAGGGTCTTAGTCACTGAGCCACCACATCCATTTTATTAGCAGTGTCAAATTGGCACATCTGGAAAAACACCATGCTGAAAGTTTCGGGGTTTTCCCTACCCAAAAGAAAGTCAAATATCCATCCCCTGCACTCAGAAGTCCATCACATGTCCCAATCATTTCGCCATCCCAACTGGAGACGATCCCCAGTCACTCCCATCCAGGTGCAGGCCGATTATCCTTGACTCCCAGAGATAGGAATGTTGTTATGGCTCATTCTCCACTGACCCCTTGTAATCCCCCCTCCCATTTTCTCAGGCACTAATTGTGGCAGCCCTGAAGCTCCAAAGAAATAGATGGCTTCCAGGGTTACACTGATATGGGACAGAAACAACATTGGTTGCACTTGTGAATGACCTCTGGCAGGAATGGGATGGGGTAGTGTATGCATCCCGGCTCTTCTTGATCTCCCAGCATAATATCTTTTTCAGTCAACTCAGGGAGGGGGGTGGAGGTGGCTCAATTTTGTTCTGTTTCACCTTCTTCCCTGAGACTAGCCCCAATTAATGTTGATAGGGAATGAGAGGTTCAGCCCATGACTACTGCATTGTAGGATGCCATAGGGCTCAGTACTTTCTCCACTTCTTTTTAACATGAAGCTCCTAGGTCAGGCCTGTAAACTGGTGGCCCATGGGCCATGGACACCCCGGCTCTGCAAAGGTGCAACACATCATGATACAGCCCGATTTGACATCCCTGTCCTAGGTGAAATCTTTTATATTCAGATGAAACCCAGATATACATCTCTGCCCCAGAAAAAGCAAGCGCTACTGTGGATGTCCTTACATTGTGCTTGGAGACTGTGGGGTGTGGATGAGGGACAAGAGGTTTCAACTGAATTCTGGTAAGACGGAGTGGCTCTGGGTAGGTGGCTCCTCTGTATTTGGGCCTTTACCATCTTTGTCTTGGTAGCAGTGCCCCAGACGGATCCGATGTGTAATATGGGGATCTTCTTGCACTCCCAAGTCTTGTTCAAGGAACACGTGGCAGTCATGGCTGGGAGGGCTTTTGCTCAACTTCAGGTTGTACGCAAGTTATACTCTTCCAGTGTCGAGAGATGCTAGAGTAAATCACTGTCTTTTCCCTTTCAGTTCGATCTACACAACCTTTTTTTGATGGTTAATATTCTGAAAATATATCCAGAGAGAGTCGGTTCAGTTGCCATACCTAATTGTTGTTTAATCACTAAGTCCTGTCCAATTCTTCGTAACCCCATAGATCATAGCAGGTTAGGCTCCCCTTTCCTCCTGGTGTTTGCCCCGATTTATGTCCATTGTGTCGCTGACACTGCCTAACCATCTCCCCATCTGCCATTCCCTTCTCCTTTTGTCTTGACTCTTTCCCAACATAGGATATTTTTCAGTAAGTCTTCTTTCTTCTCATTAGTTGAGCATTTTTTTGGCTTTGGCACAGGCGCTTCATTCTTTTTGGAGTACCTATAATTTCCCTCCAATCTTACCCAGTAGCATATTAGATATCTTCCAACCCAAAGGGCTCATCGTCAGGTATCATGTCTTTTCGTCTTTTGATACTCTTCATGGGGTTTTCTTGGCAAAGAGAAAATACCTGGATTGCCATTTCATTCTCCAGTGGACCATGTTTTGTCAAACCTATAACCTATCCATTTTGAGTGGTCCAGCATGGCATAGTTCATAGCTTCATTCATCTATGCAGGCCCCTTTGCCACAACAACATAGTGATCCGTGAGTGGGCCATGCATACCTTTAGTTCCAATAAATATATGATACATGCTAGCTTTTCAGGAGATGATTGTAATTTTCAAACTCCTCTCTGCAGGCTTTTTGGGGGGATCCTAACTGATTCCTGCAGGAGGCATCTTGGAGAAGTATTCAGGAAAAACCCAACGTGCAAAGAGTTAAAGCTGTCCTTCAAGAATCTAGATGAAAAAACAATGGTGGTACTGTGTGATGGGCTCAAAGATCCAGAAAGTACAATAGAGATGCTACAGTAAGTGATTTTTTTTTTCTTTCAATCTGCACAACTGCCTGTTGAAGAGTAATGTTTTGGCAATATATCCATGGAATAGCGGTACACTTGCCATACATAATTACACAATTCCTTTAATTCCTGAAAAAGTATAGTCCATGCTTCTTTTTCAAGACATAATGGTGATTTTTTCGGACTCTTCTCTACAGACTTGATGGAGAGATCCTGAGTGAATCTTGCAGCAGGCAACTTGTAGTAGTAGCCAGGAAAAACCAGAGAATGAATGTGTTGTGCTTGTCCTTCAAGAACCCAGATAACAAAACAATGGAGGTGCTGTGTGATGCTCTCAAACATTCAGAATGTACAATAAAGTCACTTCAGTAAGTGATTTCTTTTTCCTTTTCAGGTTGAATTGCACAATTGTCTTTTGACGGTTAATATTCTGTAAATTTATCCAGAGGGAGGCCATTTAGTTGTCATGCTTAATCATATTCCCTTCAGTTACTATACCAAGATATTCCATGCTTTTTTCAAGGTTTACTTGTAATTTTGGACCCTTCTCTGCAGGCTTGCTGGAGACATCCTGACTGAATCCTGCATCAGACATCTTGCAGAAGTATTCTGGAAAAACCAGAGATTGAGAGAGTTAAAGCTGTCCCTCCAGAATCCAGATGACAAAATATTGGAACTGCTGTGTGACAGCCTCAAACATCCAGAATGTAAAATAGAGACACTACTGTAAGTCACTATTGGTTGGTTGTTTTTTCAATTTGATGTGCAACTCTCTACTGAGTGTTTATCTTCTGGAAATATACCCAAATTGAGGCAGTTCAGTTGCCATACCTAATTACATTCCCTTTAGTTACTATAAGAATAAACTCTGCTGCACTAGGCCTCCCAGAGTTTCCTCCTCCCTGAGTCACCCCAGGCTCTACCTAAAGACCCATGCACNAGGGCCAAATTGATGAATGGTTGACAACTGGAAAAACATACTTGATTCAGAAAGATGCAACTAAAGGAACAACATCTGAAAACTACAGACCAATAACATGCTTGTACGAGTCCTACAGATGTTTATTCAAACCCCCAAACTGATCCTTGGAAAGCACCCCTGTTGCACAGGTCCAGATTCCAAGTTCAGTACAGCAAGAGACCCTGGGTAACAGTCTAATGGGCTCACATGAAATCCAGGAAAGCAGTTCAGGAGTCCAACAGCCAGGATAAAAGGCTATATAAGGCACAGAACTGGGCACATTGCTCCAGCAACATTCAAGTCCTTAGAGCTGGGTTAAGTAAGCAATGCTGGTACAGCCCTTCATGAGAGGCGAGTTTGCCTCCTCATAAGTACTCTAACTGACGAGTGTTATGTCTGTTGCCTCTCTGTTCTGTGTCTCTTTGGATCAGGAGAAAATGTGGATTCCATCTCCTTCTCATTGCTAACAGGCAGCAGACACTCCCAGTCCTCACCTAGAGTCTCCTGGCCAACCTGCTGCAGTTATGGCTAGCCTCCCTCAGCCTCACGCTCATCCAGTTGACCCAGCTGAGGCTGCTCCATCAGGCTAGCAATCTTTGATCCCCAGTCCTGAATTCTGTGATTATCACACTGGACATTTAATGGCAGATCCAAACCAGCAAGCCATTTATTCAAGTTTATTTCGTGGATCCTCAAGACTATAGAATTGAGAATGGATATTCTTTACAACGTTGGAATTTAATATGAAGTTGTTGAAGTATTAAGGAAACTTCTATGACAATGAACCCATACATTGTATCTTGTTTGACTTGCAAAAGAACAACTTTGAGACATACCAGATGCTTCCATTGTCACTGGTCCTGACTGGAGATTAGCATTTAAACATGAGAAAAGATTTAAAGCACCAATTGCCAACAAAATCATCATTATAACAAACAGCACTGAAACTGAACCAACTTCATGGCACATTTTTTATCTTTTTGCCGCTTGTGTTGAATTTTCATTTTTCTGTTTTCTATTTTATCTTTGATAAAAGAAAACAAATATGTTAAAAAGATTGAGGTGTGCAACCATATTTTTGGCTGTTAATATTCCTGAAATAATATTCCTCTACATCCATGGAGAGGCTGTTCAGTTGCCATATATAATTACATTCCCTTCAAAATTCCTATACAGGGGTAAGCTAGTACTCAACAACATTGGATCTCAATGCATTTTGAGATGAAAATTTGGTCCCTCATCATTTATGCACGTTTTTTCAGTGCACAAAGTAGAACATGTCTATGTCATTTGCCTTGTAACTACATACTGTCCCTTTGACTTGCAAAAGAACAATTTTGAGATGCTTCCATTGTAATTGATCCTGACTGGAGATTAGCATTTGAACAATGCAGAAGATTTAATGCCCAATTGCCAAAGAAGTCACCATCATTATACCAAACAACACTGAAACTAAACCAACATTTTAGAATATGTTGAAAGATTGAGGAGATGGTTTTCAAATTAAAGTCATTTCAGTGAGGAACTTGGATTTTCCAAGGTTTTACAATGGAATTCAACTGCATAACATCGGAACGTAACAAAAATAAGTAAACTTAAGGAGATAAATAATGGTGTGACTAAAAGATCCAAACCAGCTACATATCTACAAATTTCAGAGATTACATTTAAAAATCAGGAATACCAGAACAATAGTGTGTAACTTTTGGCCTGCCTTGAATACTGTGGTCATGATTATCAAAAAGGTTCATCTGGGAGTCCACCACTTTGGGCAAAATCATGAACATAGCAGCTTAACATGGCATTAAAATAATTGGATCAAATAATTGCAGCTTTAATATTTAATATAGCTATACAGTCAGCCATCTCATTTACATAACTCTGGGCAGCTGACAAAATAAGATAAAAACAAAAGTCCAAAGAGAACTAAAAGTATAAACATAAATAACATAAAACACTGCTGTCTCCCAGCCTCCCAGAGTCTATATAATCATAAGAAAGGNTAGATAGATAGATAGATAGATAGATAGATAGATAGATAGATAGATAGATAGATAAGATAACAGAAATCTTACAATTAGGGGGAGGAAAATCTATTAGTTTATTTATTTTTCAGCATCCAGCCAAAGTAGATTCTTTATATTTAATGTTAAATTTACTTGATAATTGGGGGGTTTTTTCCTTTTTTTATACACAAGATTTTTTTTGTTCTCTTTACACTGTTTGGGTTTAATTTTCCTTTTTCTGTTTTTAATTTTATCTTATTTGATAAAAGAAAATAAATATGTACAAATGAAAAAATGATATATGCAATCATATTTTGGGCCATTAATATTCCTGAAATATATCCAGGGAGAGGCTGTTCAGTTGCCATACATAATCACATTCCCTTCAATTCCTGTACATCTTAGGTATCTTAGGTATCGTAGTATTCAATTGCTTTGAAACTCATTGAATTTGGTACTCAATGCATTTTGACAAGAAAATTTTGTCCTGGTCATTCATCATTTGTTTGGTACTCAACACACAAGCTAGAACCTGTCTGTGTCTGTTACCTTTTGACTCAGTACATTATTCCTGATGGGGAAAATTTGTTCGGTGCACATCATTTTTGGTACTCATCATGCTTCCTGCAACCAACTAATGATGATTACCAAGATGTATAAATTACCAACTGTATAAATACAGCCCATGCTTGTTTTTCAATAAATCATTATTTTTTTGGATCCTTCTTTGCAGGCTTGATGGAGAGTTCTTGACTGAATCTTGCAGCAGGTATCTTGCAGAGGTACTCAGGAAAAACCAAAGATTGAGAAAGTTAGAACTGTCCATCAAGAATCCAGATGACAAAACAATGAAACTGTTGTGTGAAGGGTTCAAAGATCCACAGTGTAAATTGGAGACCCTACAGTAAGTGACCTTTTTTCCCCCAGTTTGATGTTCCAACCATCTGTTGGACTGTTTATCCAAGGTGGCGCAGTGGTTAAAGGCAGCACTGCAGGCTACTGCTAGATCAGCAGNTATAACACTATCAAATAGCCCCATCTGCGTATCCCAAGACCTGTAGAAGGTCTCAATAGGTAGAAACAAATACCAAATCTACTCTGAACATCTAGCTGACTGTACAACAAACCATAATGATCCTCTACTAAAATGGTAAATTTTATAGGGCTCCCAAAGACAAAGGAAATTAAGTTTTTTAAATTATACAGAACATGTCTAGAAATAATGAAATAATTTCTGGAATTCTATGGGGTGGATCAGATTAGAAGTCAGGTCAGAGATGGCCAGGGGGTCCCTGCACAGTCTGATAGAGACATTACTGGGCACTTATCTTTTGGTGGGAGATTAAAGTAAGATTTTGTTTTTCATTATAGGTTGAATGGAAAATGTATTCTACAGAATGGAAAATGGATGGATGCAAACCATACAATCTTCCTTGTGAATTTCTTCTGCTTTTTCATGCTTGCTTGTTTGATCTATTTTTATTTCCGTTAAGAATATGGTTAATAAGATTTGGAATTTAATATATTTCAAGTGAAGGTCTGAAGAACTTGCTTTCAACAACTATAATCTGAACTAAGGACTTTTCTCTCTTTGCAGCTAAAAAATGCCACGCCAGAAAGATAAAAGTTAGCCCACAAACTTGTTCATGGAAATATGGAAAATAAATTATAATACTTCTTTTACATTGTGACATTATTATTGTTCTTTGAAATCTGTATAAGAGAAGGAACCTTGATTGTTTGATTAGGGGCCATCAAGTCCATCTTGCCCCCTAGTGTCTACTCAGACTAAAGCTGTCTGGTTTTCAGCACTTGTCTGGCCAGGTAGACAGCCAGGTGTACAGGACCCCAACCATTTTCCCAAAGGGAGGATCTGATATGCTACCCTCATCCACTGCCAATGCCATCTCCATTGCTGTCTGCCTGCTCCAAGATTAAAGGAATCCTTTCTGGCTTGTACCAGTTTTAGCAGAACTCAGTTTCTTCCATCTGGTAAACTCCTGCCCTTCATTTAGCATTGGAGTGCAGTGGCTGGGGTAGCCCCTCATCCAGATTAATGGTTACTGCCCTGCATGGCCATTTTGGGCCTGGATCATTTAACCTCCAACTTAATTTTTTCACTTTTTTATCCTCCCAATTTCCTGCACTAGTTCCTTGATGGAATAGTGAAAGTACAGCAGTCCCCCCCCCCTTTTTGTTGTTGTTAATGCAACTTTTTTCTCAAAGCCCTTCAAAAGTTAGGGAGGATCTCAAAAGAGCTTTTCTTTGTATGGTTATATTTAAAAGTAATTTAATAAATTATATTTAAGATTAAAATCAACAGGTTTTTTTACATATACCCAAGCCAGTTGCTTCAAAACCCAAGAGAGCTAACTTAAGAGTATAGGTCTCTAGACATCATATATCCAAGCACTCAAAGGCTAGTACTCACTGATCCACTCTTTCTCACTTTTACTACACCTGCTGCTCCCCCAACCACTACTATTTATAAATCCCATTGCTGGAGAACAGTTTCTTTTCCTATTTTAGTCCACCGCAGAAGGTTCATCTCCAAAGACAAAGGCATACCTCCTTCCCTCACACCAACACTACCACACCCAGCTGCCTTTCTGCTCAGCTTTTATAGCCAACAGATGCTGTACTGGTAGGAAAAGACCATAAGGGACAGTGAAAATTGCAATAACTCTGAAAAAAGAGTAGCGAGTAAGAATAAAAGTACATTGAAGCATTTTTAGCATTTTAGTGTTAATATTTTTATTTGGCATGCACTTGTATTAAGGTTGTATTAAGTACAACTCTAACACACAGTAGTAGTCTGACCTACTGAAGGAGATCTCACCAAGTTCACAAGTTAATGTCCATCAAGAGTCTAATTACAAGCAATGCCAGTACTACTTTCCAAAGTTCAAATAGCAAGATGGATAGCCATGGTGTTTCACAAACAGGAAGAGCTTCAGGAGGGAATTGACAGGAACATGAAAGTTAGGCAAATATTTAGGCAAAGTTAGGCTGAGGGTGAAAAGGGAGGTGGAGACCATTTTCTAGACTTACATTCCCTTCAGGAAAAGAGCTTTTCTGTGGCTTCCTTCATGTTCTTGGCCTCCTCGATCTATTGGAATGGGAATAAAAATCTGCACGTGCCCCAAAACCCTTTCCCCACTGTTACAACTCTGCAAGAGGTTTAAAAAAAATCAGAAGAGCTGCGGAAGACATTAAGCGAAGCAGTAGGTGTGTATCTTTTCCTCCTTTAAAGCAGCTGCAGAGGAAATGTAACTCACACAATAGGAGGAAGGGTGGGGCACTTTTGAAAAGGAAAGTGCTTTTAACAGGAGGCCTGAGTTTTATCTGTCTCATTAAAAAATCAGGACCAATTTAGCTTTGAGACTCCTGTTTTTCACCATGTAAAGGTAAGCCTGATATCCTAAGTGCTTAAGTATGGGAAGATTGGATTTTGTGATACCATATGTGTTTGTGTCAAAGGCTCTTCTCAGGAAGAGCCAATGCTTTGTAAAAGCATGCCGCCTTTGGAAAAGACTTTTGCAGCACAAATTTCTCTGGGGTGGAAACGTCACCTTCAGCCGAGCTTGAAATGGATCTGGCAATGGAAGGTCCCTGATCTCCACCATAAGCCTATAAACATGTGAAGGCTTTTTGGAAGTTTTGCTTGGAGATCATTAAAGCCTGGCTCCCCACGGGGGTTACTTGATACTGGAATGTCCAACTTGAGAACTTCCAAAGCATGGTTTCTGGGAAGGACTATTAATAGTAACAGAGTTGGAAGGGACCTTGGAGGTCATCTAGTCCAACTGTACTAGGGATTCAAACCGCCAACCTTTCTAATCGACAAGCTCAGTGTCTTAGCCACTGAGCCACCTAGTCAGGTTTTAAAAAGCCAATTCCTGTGATTTCAAATTGACAAAATCTTCTATGTTTTGAAATGCCATGTCAAGCTTAGCCTTTCTGCATTTAATGTTTAATCACATGTTTTAGCAGAAGAGATGTGAGCCAGACATTTGTCTAGTGCAGATCTGGGCATTTTATGGCTCCTGTTGCCCTGGAAGACCTTCAGTGTTGGTGGCCTTGGCATGAGGGGGTGATATTTCACCACAATCCCACTTTCTCATATGGCCCCCTTGAAAAAGTCAATTACTTGCCCCTGATCCAGCAGGAACATCCCTTTAAGGCAAAATCTGATTCCTCCCATGTGTCTGTGGTCTTGCATCCCAGGGGGTGCCAAGCATTATAGGACAGATGCAGAAGAACTCCCAGCATGGTTCCTTCTGTGGGGCTTCTGTTCTGAAGAAGTTTCTCTTGGGTGAGAAGTAAAACATCTTCAAAGAAAAACCAGAAAATCCAGTTGCCTCTTGAAAAAAAGGTCCTTTGGGACTACCATGCTCTGGGTGAATGAGAATCTCCATAGACATATCACTTTGACAATTTTTCCTGGGTTTTCTACGATCCTGTTGATGTATTTTTGTAGTAATAAGATTTATATGGCCACCCAGGCAAATAAGGCAAATGCTGATGCCTGAGTCAGGATAGCATCACACAAATGATGTGATTTGTCTGCTTCTACCCGACATAATTTTTGTGATGTAAAATATTGCCATTTTGAAGTCATTGTGGCCTTTTATGACTCCTGTTTTAAAGCTAGAACTTCTGTCTCTATGGGCCCATTGGTGTGTAGGAGTAGCCCCTTCTGAAGAAAGTTTATCTGTCCATTTGGCCATTATATGGTCTCTACAATACAAGAAAAGTGTTTGTGCAACCTGGCTGGCGGAAGAGATAATGGGCTGGATGCAGACTACAGTACATGATGCAGAATAAAAGACACACTATTGTTCTATCCATTTTCATTCCCATGAGATCTTGACTATTGCACAAAGCACTGGTCTTTAATCCTTTAAAAATCAGAAGCTGAAATATGGAGGATCAGCTTCTCATTCTAATGCTGCACACAGAGGTGATCTTCTACCACTTGAAGGAATTATTGAGTTCACTATAGTTTACTTTTTAGGATGATACCGAGACCATATTTGACAGAAATTGTCTCTCAGTCACATTATTAGTCTCCCATTACTAAAGTTCCGTGCGTCTTGGCAAATTCTGCATTTTGTTTGGAGAATCAACCATTATACCCTTTCTTTTATTTCAGTGGGAGCAGGGTATTGGGCACCAACAATATTATAGTTTTTGTTCACTGATCCATGTATCTTAACCCAGGGCTCTTTACAGTATTACAGAATTCCTTCATTTGGATTTCTGCTATTTGTGAATACTTTTAATATATATGGACGTCCCTCTTTCCATTCTATTTTTGAGCAAATTTTATTCTTTAAGTATTAAATTCTAGGCTGGGGGCCCATCTCACCAGTTCTTCTGTATATTTATTCAGTCCTATACATAAAATGTATTGTTTCCTGTATTTTGAGTATTACGGTACCTATAAGGAAGATCATGAACTTTGGTTCATAATGATTCACTGAGTAGTGTGATAAGCATTGTTAGATTAACACACCTATTTCCTTCTGCAGTGCTGAAGCTTTTCTGGAGTTTTACGTTTTCACTTTCACCTCCTACTAAATTTATTTTAATGACATCTTAATGATGTTTACCATGTTTCCATCTGTTTTATGTCTGTATTTGTATCACTGTATCTTAAATTACAACCAGATACATCTTCATTTCACAACTCACCCCATTTTTTATAAACTCCTCTCTATATTTGTAGTTCTTCTTATTCAATCAAAGTCCAGAAAAAGTTAAGAAAAATACTTATATAATATGCATATAATTTCCCTTTCCATGTAGGTGAAATCCCTCTCACCCCTCCTTAATAAATAGAATAGAATAAAGCTGGAAGGGACCTTGGAGGTATTTTAGTCCAGCCCCCTGCTCAAGGAGGAGATACTATACCATTTCAGACAAGTGACTGCCCAGTCTCTTCTTAAAAACCTCCAGGGATGAAGCACCCACAATATCTGAATGCAAGCTTATATATTACATAAATAAGAATAAGAGCAATAAAATTTAAAATTATTCAGCTGTACCAGAAATAATAGTCTTTTATTTAGATACCCCAAAAGGGTAACAAATATTTACAAACTAATCAATTACTCCATTAAATGTTTCCCAAAGAATCAATCCTTAATATTTGTTTGGTCAATGACTTGCAAATTTGAAAGGAACAAAACAAAAAGAGAATGGAGCAAATAAATAAAATAGTATGCCACCAGCTAGCAAAATAAACTACAGAATATAACATTTTCTCCTTTATTACTCTATTAATACAATTATTATCCAGGTGATAAATCTAAAACATTAATGCATATAAACTTTTAAAAATCCCTAAACATCACCCAAAAAAGCAACAGTCAAATAATTGAATTTCGCAGTTTTTTTCCCCATCTTCCTTCCAACAATGCTTCAATTCCACTGATTCTAACTCCAGTTTTCTTATAGTCACTTTTCATTCTTCTCTTGCACTTTCTATTTTTATCCATTTGTAGTGACTCCAGTAAACCTGTATTTCAATTTATGAGGATACCCCAAGAGGATATTAGGTGCATTATTTAATGACCTTTGGGGATTTTAAAATAATTAGTGAAATCATGTAAATCCAATATTTCCATCTTTTTCTCATAAATTCAAATTTTTAAGTGCACCTAAATCTCAATTTCAGC